TGCTGTGGGTCAGCAATAGAGAGGGACCATGCCTTGGTCCTGCCCCACAGCTCGACTGGTGCCCCCTCCATCCTTCATCCCTGCTATCCTGGACTCTGCCCCTACCCACCCCACTCCTGATGCTCCTCAGTGCCAGCCTGCATCCACCCATCCTGGGTTCATCTTGGCACAGACTGCTGACTGCACCAGGGCCCCGGCGTTCATTTCATTTCTGACCTGGAGAGGGTTTTGCTCAAGCCCACGAGGGGTTAAAGATCAAATGCATGAACCCGCTATCCCCGGAGCTCCCCTTTGGTTCCCTGGGTTATAATTTCGCTGGGCACTGAGCCATACGGCTCCGCCAGCCTTTTGCTCTCTTTCTCTCTCTCTGAATTTCTGGGTCAGGGAACAGAGAAATGGATCTTGCTCTCAGTGACCATCGGTGGTGGCGTGTGCTGGGACTTCATAGAATCATAGAATCTCAGGGTTGGAAGGGACCTCAGGAGGGCATCTAGTCCAACCCCCTGCTCAAAGCAGGACCAATCCCCAACTAAATCATCCCAGCCAGGGCTTTGTCAAGCCTGACCTTAAAAACCTCAAAGGAAGGAGATTCCACCACTTCCCTAGGTAACGCATTCCAGTGCTTCACCACCCTCCTAGTGAAATAGTGTTTCCTAATATCCAACCTAGACCGCCCCCACTGCAACTTGAGACCATTGCTCCTTGTCCTGTCATCTGCTACCACTGAGAACAGCCAAGCTCCATCCTCTTTGGAACCCCCCCCTTCAGGTAGTTGAAGTCTGCTATCAAATCCCCCTTCATTCTTCTCTTCTGCAGGCTAAACAATCCCAATTCCCTCAGCCTCTCCTCATAAGTCATGTGTTCCAGTCCCCTAATCATTTTTGTTGTCCTCTGCTGGACTCTCTCCAATTTTTTCACATCCTTCTGGTAGTGTGGGGCCCAAAACTGGACACAGTACTCCAGATGAGGCCTCACCAATGCCGAATAGAGGGGAACAATCATGTCCCTCGATCTGCTGGCAATGCCCCTACTTATACAGCCCAAAATGCCATTGGCCTTCTTGGCAACAAGGGCCCACTGTCGACTCCTAAGTAAGTCACACAGGTGACTTGGGACACCTAACAGGGGCAGTTGGGGATGAAATCATACTAAGGCTGGGGAAGGATTGCCTGGCCTGACCTGGCCGACAGTGAGTTATAAATAGTCACTCAGGATGGCCCGGGTGTGTGTGGAAGCAGATAGGGGACGGGGCTGCACGGGGACTGGGACCACATCTCTGTCACGCTTGTTATTGCACCAGCAGCTCTCTGACTTGGGAAGGGCTATTTACATTAGCAGAGGCAGCAGCTCTGTGCCCTGGAGCGGTGTTGTTCTTTCCCTCCTTCGTTGCTCAGGATCCTCGGGGATGAAGGCAGGACGGACGCTGAACAAGAGCTCGGTGCTGAGAACCCTGGACAGTAGCCCGCAGAGACCAGCCCTGCTTTGCCCCTGTGACGAAGCGGGACTGTTCTTAACGTTTCCTCTGAATAATACTGTAGGGGTGCCTCAGTTTCCCCTGTGCATTTCTTAAGTCTCTAGGTGGTGGGATAAGGGGGTGTAATTGTTGCAGAGCAAAGGGCCAGGGTACATAAATGGCCGACACTCTGTCTCCTGGCAACTGATGGCCTGGGCCCTTCTCCTCTGCAAGATGAGAGCTAAAGGGTTGGAGAACAAAGGAATCCGGTGACCTCCAGGCCCGGGAAAGGGACAAAGCCCAGAGGAGGAGGGGGTGGAGTGTGAGTCAGTTTGGGGCTGGCTGGAGACATGGAGTGAAGGGCAGACGGGGTTGTCTGGCTCACTGCCCCCCAAAATGGACCCAGCTGAGGGGTCCTGTTCTCTGCACCTACAAGCTTTTTCTAGACCGTGTTCCTGTCGTCTAATAAACCTCTGTTTTACTGGCTGGCTGAGAGTCACGTCTGACTGTGGAGTTGGGGGGCAGGACCCTCTGGCTTCCCCAGGACCCTGCCTGGGCGGACTCGCTGTGGGAAGCGCACGGAGGGGCAGAGGATGCTGAATGCTCCGAGGTCAGATCCAGGAAGGTGAAAGTCGTGTGAGCTTTTTGCCCTGGGGACAGTCTGCTCAGAGAGAGGAGACTTCCCTAGAGTCCTGCCTGGCTTCGTAGGGAGCAGTTCCAGAGCATCGCCCAGGGACTCTGTGACAGTCACCATTAATGATTCTAACTCTGGATATTGTTACACTATCCCTCTTTGAATCTTTGTCCCAGTGATATCTTGTGGCAGAGAGTTCCACAGTCCACCTATGCATTGTGTGAAAAAGCTTTTCTTTGCAACAGTTTTGGGTTTCCACCCACTAATGTCATTGACTGTCCCTTTGTCCTTGTGTTCTGAGATAGGGAGAACAGATGCTCCCCGATCTCCCTCCTCTCGACCAGACTAGACTTTATATGCTTTTATTCTGGCCCCTCTTATTCGCCTCCTCTGTCTTTCCAACCTCTCTTCAGAGGAGAGCTTTTCCAGCCCTTGATCATTCTCATTACCCTTCTCTGAAGCCTGGTTTAATTCGGCAAACCCTTTCTGAGAGGGGATGCCCTGTCCTGCACATGGGAGGCCGCCCCGTTGATTTCTAACCTCCCTTGCCTAGACACAGCCTGGTGCACCTTCAGGGGTGGCGCCCACTGAGATAAACACTGTGGCATGTATTGCATTGATTCCACGTTGAGCTCAAGTGGCTCAGGGAGCCCTGCGTCCCCCCCATCACACAGCGGGACGGGATTCCCCCGGCACGCTTCCCTCTCTGTCTTTGTTTGTCAGCCACATGCTTTGCTGCACAAACCTCCATCCAGCTGAGTTTCCACGGATGCCACGGGTCAGGGGATCTGGGTGTTTCCCATTGCAAGCCCCTCTCCCACCCTCTTCTCGGTCCCTCACCCCGAGGCAGCTTTTCCAGCCCACACATTGTTCTTGCTCTTCTGCATTGGACCCTTTCTAGTTTCTCAGCATCCTTTTGGAAGCGTGGAGCCCGGTCTTACTGACGCGCTGCAGGGTGGTAGTTCGACTCCTACGCCTTAGTCCCCTGTTTCTATCGCTGACGATCGCCTTAAGCTCTTAGCAACAGCGCTGCCCTGGGAGCTCGTGTTTAGTTGTTTGTCTACCCTGACCCCCAAGACCTTCTCAGAGACGCTGCTTTCTAGAATACAGCCCCCCCGCCCCCATCCAGCAAACGTGACCTGCATTCTTTGTTCCTTGATGGATGGCCCTGCATTACAACGCACGTTGGTCGAGTCTCGCTTTCGAAGCTCTGTAGAACTGACTTTTTCCCTCATTTTTTACCCCCCGTTCCCCCAGTTTTTGTGTCACCTGTCAAATTGACCAGCAACAAGGCTATATTTTAAAGATATTGAATAGTGTTGGGCCCCTCTAGAAATACCCCTGTGGGATGGTGATCCCCTCTTCACAGGCTCTTTGGGAGATCTATCAGCTAGCCAGTTTGTAGTCTCACGTGGTGAATTGATTGCATACGTTTTTAAAATCAGAATGTCTTGCAGTGCTAGGGGCAAGGAGGGTATTAACCGTTAAGGTGCGAGTTCACACACAAGGTGACGACAAAACCCTAACGCTATCCCATAGAGATGGCAATAAGAACATCACAGTACCTAGCCTTTCGTTTACAAACGGTGCCATTATTTCTGAGTCCACCACAATTTCGCACCTGGACTCCTAGTCAGACAGCTCTGTAGGACCCTTGCCGTGTGTCAGTACTAATATGGGGAGCAGCTGCTGCCGGTTTACAGAGATCACGCTTCCGCCTTTTTTCCTGCTGCCCAGATGCAATTAACGAGGCCAACGTTGCGTCGGGCAGTTTGCTTCCTGCACTTGAAGCCACTCTCCCTCCCTCCCGACAGAGTGATCCTCCGGGGGCATAGAATCATAGACTATCAAGGTTGGAAGGGACCTCAGGAGGTCATCTAGTCCAACCTCCTGCTCAAAGCAGGACCAATCCCCAATTTTTGCCCCAGATCCCTAAATGGCCCCCTCAAGGATTGAGCTCACAACCCTGGGTAACCACTGAGCTATCCCTCCCCCCAGAGTGAAGGCCGGCTGGCCATGCTGGGGGAAACCTCCCTGGCGGGTCCAGGTTACTGGGGAGATGTGGGAAGGCTTGAACTGACTGAGAATTTTGGGGGTGTCTAAGGGTGAGTCTGGGTTGATGTGGCCCCACGTCTTGGTGGTATAGGGGGCCCAGCTGGGTGGCAGAGGTGGTAAGGGAATCAAGGTGGTCTGTAGGGAGATCTCCGATGTTTGGGGCATGTTAGCTGAACAGACACTCTCCAGTGGTTGGACGCTGATGTTAGGAAAATTCAAACTGGAAACAGAGACAACTTCTGAAGTGGGGGGCGAGTAGCCACCGCAACCGATTCTCAAGGGGCAGGATGGGGCGGACTCTCCGCCACACCGGCTCTTCGCAGCGAGAGCGGATGTCTTTCTAAACGCCACGTGCTCGCGAGGGGTTACTCTGGCTAGCGTCAATCCCCTGGCAGGGGAGAAGAAATCCCAACACGGCAGGACTCGCTGGCGGAGGTTCTCTGGCTTGTGCGATGCAGGAGGTCAGACTAGATGGTCACGATGGGCCCTCTGGCCTTGAAATCCATCCGTCCATGACCCTGGGCCTGCCTGAAAGCCCTCTCCCACGTGAGCTCCCTGGCGGCCTTGGGAGGAGAAGAGGGGGCTTTTGCCCTGCACTGCTGATGTAGCTTGGCTTCTGATACCCTTTCCCCCTTCCCCGCCAATCTGCTTGCTGTATTAAAGCCCACGCCCTTTGGCCCGGTCCCGCTCTCAGGACGGGAGCCTTGGGCTCTGGTTGGGGTGCTTGGTGGCCCTTGATAAGCGGTATAGGTGATGTGTGCCCCTCTTTGCCCCCAACCCGCCAGGGCTTGCTGAACATGTGGAATGGCTGCGTCAGGCGATGCCATTAACGGGGCTTGTTCTCTGTTCCGTCTCCAGATCATCAGAAGTTGGAGCGCGAAGCCCGGATTTGCCGTCTCCTGAAGCATTCCAACATCGGTGAGTGCCTGCCGCGAGGACGGGGTGGGGAGTGCTTGCCGCGGGGTGGGGGAGGGTGACAACCCCCCTAGGAGGGCCAGAGGAGGGGATGGAGGAAGGATGCCTCTCCCCAGGATTTTGGTTGACCCAAAACGACCTGAATTTGACCCAATTTTGCTCATGGTATTGGCACGCCCAAAAATGCATCTTCCGGTGAATGTACTGTTCGCCACAAAAATGTCACCCAGCTCTAGCCAGATGGGGTAGAAGTAGCAGGCAATGCAGACACGTCCTTGGGACACTGGGGGTGGGGGGGGATGTCTCTCATTCCCAGAATGCCACTGTGCATGTCGCTCACCACCCTGCCCTCTCCAAAGGCCCAGCCTAGCCAGGGTTTCAGACCTGCTGCCCCAGCTGCCGGCCTCAGCCATTCGGGATCCTCCCCGTCTACCAGAGCTCAGCTGGAGCATCGCGTGCCTGGGACCCTGGCCAGAGCTCGCCTGGGCACCCTGGGGAGTCCTCACCCCAGCCACACTCGCACCCAGTGCAGAGAGAGGGGCCACTGAGGACGCAACCGAGGATGACCCCGAACAGCCAGGCTGCCTCCTGCCGCACACCGTCCCCATGCCTCCGCCCTGCGCGGGGCGTGATCCGGGTTCCCCGGGGAGCCATTGCAGCCTGGGGGTGCAGACCCAGGGCCTGGCCCGGCGCTGCATTGCTCATGGCCAAGTTAACAGCCCCATGGAAGAAGGCCACAAGCCCACGCCTGCCCTCAGCTGCTGCTGACAAGCGGGTGATTAAAACAGGAGGTTTTAATCAGCAGAGCACTGGGCAGGTCTTTCCTCCCATGCAAGTGGCCAATTCAAACTTCACCCCCCCACACGCCCCCCCCCAGCACCAGCACGCTCTGGTGATGCCAATTATTTGTTCTTTTTTTTTTTTTTTTCAGTTTTCCTCTGGTCCCCCCCCTCTTTTGAAGTACACCAGTTGCTATGGCAACCGTGTCCTCATGGCCACCTTCAAGGTGGAGATGGCCACAAGTGCAGGAGAAAATCAGTGTATATAATGGGCTGAAACTGACCCTGGGAGACGTGGGAACGCGAATGGTGGGCACGGGGGGGAAGGGGGAGAGAGACCGACACACACAAGCTCAGCTAAGGGTACACCACAAATGTTTGTGTCCTGGAACAAATGTTTGGGGTGCGTCTGGACTGGCCTTCACCGCGACTTTAAGGCCAGAAGGGACCATCGCGATCCTCTAGTCGAATCTCCTGCACAGAACCTCGCCCACCCGCCCCTGTAACCGACCCGAACCTCTGGCTGACTCACTGATGTTCTCAACTCAGGGTTTCAAGTGACAGAGAGTCCGCCATTTCCACTAGTTTAACCCTGCAAGGGGCCTGTGCCCCATGCTGCAGAGGAAGGCGATTCCCCCCCATAGGGTCTCTCTGCCAGTCTGAACTGGAGGAAATTCCTTCCCCACCCCAAATCTGGCGATCAGTTAGACCCTGAGCACGCGGGCAGGACCCACCAGCCAGACACCTGGGAAAGAATTCACTGGAGTAACTCAGAGCCCTCCCCATCCAGTGTCCCATCTCCAGCCATTGTGTTAATCGCCCTGAGTTAGCTGGCTATCTCAAGTCAGTAAAAACCATCAGCGTCGACAAGCACCTTGGGGCAAAGAGATGCAATAATAGGGTCCCTGGCTCCTTACGAAGCCCTCAACACCAGCCTGTGTGCAATAGGCCCCTTCAGGGCTGGTGGCGTCTTACGCTCCCTTAAGAGCCACGTGAGGGCCTAGGAAGTTAGGGCATCCCCACATGTGAGTAGTAGCTCCAAGCCGAAGCACTATTCATTGTATTTCTGGCAGCTGGAACAGCCCTGGATCCAGATCTGCCTTTCTCACGAGGGACCCTTTCCACTCGTCTGCAGAACCTTTGCCATGTTGCAGTTATTGCAAAAACCATTCCCACCCCACCTGATCTTCAGTTAACCGCATTCTAACATGAAATAGCCCTGAGGCTGGACAAGTTGAAAATACAAGAAAGGGCTCCAAGTAGCCACAACATCTTCCCTCAGGCCGGAGTCGCTTCCCCTCCCTCCAGAGGAATCGGATTGCTTTTGTTTGGCAGTGGAAGAGTCCCGCTTCTTCCCTGGCCCCGAGCTCTTTGTCAAACCCCTCCTGGTCCGATGGCATCACAAAGGGGCCGGGGAAAGGGGCCCCGTTGAAGTCACTGATCAGGAAAGCTGATTTCGGAGCGCTCCAGCCTCTGCAGGGAGGTATCTGAGCTCCTCTTCAGCCAGCTCTGAAGAGCCCCCGCAGTGCCAGTTACAGGCTCTCACCACTGCCAAGCCCACCGCGTCAGTGCGTTAGCTTTGAGACGCATGTGCTGGCTTTAGCTCACGCTGCTTGTGTTTCTAACCGGATGCTGCCCCCATTTGTTCCTTTCCCTGGTTTCTCCTGGTTCTGTCTCCCCCGGATCTCATTGAGAGCCTGATTCTGGGCTTAGATTTTTAGGCGCTGAATCGAATTGGGATCTGAATCGCACAGGCCTGGGGCTCCAATGGCAGGAAAAGTGGTTTGCAAAGAAACCGACAAGTTGCCAGTGGAAACGGATTGTCTGGAATGAGCCTCTCCCTGGGCGTCTGTACTCCGGGGCCAGCTGCATCTGTTCTGTTTCTTTTCCCTGGCCCCCTTTTTGCCATCGCTGCCCCAGTCCCCCGCTCAGCCTCTCTTCCCGAGCTCGCCCTGCTCCTGTGGGTACAGTTAGTTGTGGTTCTCAGTCCAGTTCCTAAAGGGATGGGCACCCACCTGTCCACACCACCCCAGCAATGGGGCAATAGCCTGCACCCCATCTTTGGGAAGCGTGGCTGCCTGCACCCCGTCCATCCTGCAGCCCTGCCCGCAAAGATGAGCTCGGCAAGGCTGCGTGGTGGAGCCATAAGGAAGCTGCAGCTAGTGTAATGTGGCTGCTTTGCTTCTTGAGCAGGTCGTGGGCAGAGGTTGTACAAGACCCCTGTGCTCTGAGATGGGCACTGGCTGCTGCTTGGCTTCTGGAGGGAGCGGACGGGGTCTCTGGTGGGGCATCTGCCTGGGGGATGTCTCTGGAGTGCCACTGTAGGTAGGATCAGTGGAGGCGCTGGAGGCTGGGGAAGGACCTCGCTCCACCAGAGCCTGGCTTTGCTAAGCTTTCGGGCCCAACATCTTCTCTTGGGCTGTGGCTCGGGCTGGAGCTGGTACCGAGGGCGGTGATCCACCTAGGCCGCCTGCCCCTAGCAGATAGATCCTTTGCCCTCTATGTACCATAATGCACCACATGCCCGAGCGCTGAGATCTGCCATCAATACTGAATTGCCAGCCTTGGGGCCCCAGGTCTTGGTAACGCCCAGATCTGGGCTTGATGGAGAACCATCCCTGGAGAAGATATTGGCAATGCCCTCTTTGCCCTTGGGGCAGGGAATGGGGGTCAATGATGGCTGGGCAGGCTAGAGGCTGAAATCCCCTCTCCACTCCAGGGCAGTTCTGCAATTATGGCAGGGGGTAGCACTCTCCGAGCTGAGCTCCAGCCTCAGGATTGTCCCTCCATCCCCGTGCCCCAGAACTAAAATTCCCCAGGACTGGCCAAGCATCACCACGGATTCCTGGGCCTGGCTGCTAGTGCCCGATTCCGGAGCGGAGTCCTGGCAGCTCTGCGAGCCTCCGGAAACGTGTCTCGTGGGAGGCATCATCCCGCGACCGAGTGAGAGGCCGGTCCCCAGGGCTCCATCCGGGCACCTGTTCCTAGAGCAAGGCAACAGCTGACGCTTCCCTGGGGCCTGATGTCTCCTCTGTGCTCCATTGCAGTGCGTCTCCACGACAGCATCTCCGAGGAGGGCTTCCACTACCTCATCTTTGATCTGTAAGTAGCTAAAGCGCCTCCCTGGGGGTGGGGGGTTCTGGGGCACGCGGCTCTTAATTCGCCTGCAGAACCGGCCGTAGCGTCGTCCATTTGCTGTAACAGGGAATTCAGGACAGCCGTGTCTGGCTGTGTTTTTCCAAGGGTTTGAATTCAGTTCTAGCATAGCTGCACTGCAGCAGCTGTCAGGGCGGGGACTGGTGTGAGGGTGAGATGGGGGTGGGGGCCGGCTATGGCATAGGGTGGAAGGGGCTGGGGAGCTTTTGCCTCGCTGGGCAGGAAGGAGACTCCCGTCTCTCCCCCCAAGGAGGTTTGTCTTTCTCTCTGCTTCTCCTCCTGGGCGGGGGAGGGAAGTTACTGTTCCGATGTACATTGTTGGAGCTCCTGATCCTGGACCAGGACCCCGTCGGGCTAGGCTTGGTCTTAGGAGCTTCCAAGTCTAAGACCAGGGACAGCTAGTGGATACAGGCAGATGGGAGAGGACATGGAAGCGAAAAGGAAGGCTACGATTTTGTCACGGAGGTCGCAGTAGTCACGGAATCCGTGACTTCCAAAGACCTTCGTGACTTCAGCCCCAACAGCTGGGAGCTCCAGGGTCCCACCGCCTCCCGCAGCAGCAGGGAGCTGTGAGGTACCCCACAGCTCCCAGCCATCTCGGGCAGGGGGGGTACCCTGCAGCTCCCAGCCTCTGCGGGGGACCCTGGCAGCTTCCGGGCCACTGCTTTAGGACAGGGGGAGCCCGGTAGCTTCCAGGCCACTGCTGCAGGACAGGGGGACCCCGGCAGCTTCTGGGCCACTGCTGTAGGACAGGGGGACCCCGGCAGCTCCCCATGCTGCGGGGGGTGGGGCAGGGGGATTCCCACAGCTCTCCGCCGCTGGGGAGGGGGCAGGGGGACCCTGCAGCTCCCCTCCGCTGATGGGGGCAGGGGGACCCTGGAGCTCTGAGTCCCCACGGGTGGTGGGGGGCCCCAGAGCTCCCAGCCACCCCGCAGCTGCCCAGTCCTTTCCCATGTTATCATGGATATTTTTAGTAAAAATCAAGGACAGGGCTTCCGTGAATTTTCCGTGACCTGCCCCCGACTTTTACTAAAAATATCCATGGCAAACCTTGGCCTTAGCGATGCGACAGCATTGGTCAGCCGGGCAGGCGGGGTCTCCCACACTGGGGACACATTCGCCGGGAGGCCAACCGAAATCGAGTTTTAAGGAGGGGTCGGAAGGTGGACAAGGAGGTGGCTCTGGGGCTGTTTCAGGGGAGCGTCTCCCAGGCGGGAGGGGCAGCTGGAGAGACGTGTGTATGAAATGTAACAAGGGGGCTGGCATGACTGGCAGGGCAGAGGCAGGACCGGAGAACGACACAGGAGAGGCAGGGTGGGGAGAGGCTGGGCAGGGCCTTGAAAGGAGTTTGTCTGATGCTCGGGAGAAAAGGCTCCTCGGCCTGGCCCCCGGCAGGAAGGGCGAGTGGAGCCTAGCCAGGTGACCATGCTTCTTTGTATTGCAGTCGTGCCCACGGGTGCCAGTCAGGATCGGACACAGGAGTCTCTGTCCGGAGCAGCCCTGGCCCCTGGTTTCTCGGAGGAGGCCGGGGGCTGAGGCCAGGCGTGGCCCACGGGCTTAACTGCCTCTCCCAGCGCTGGTGCCAAGGCAGGCGACCAGCACGAGGCGGTTAGGCCTGACCCCTTGGCTCCGGGGAGCCCTGGGGCCCGGTGCTTTGTGCCGGGATGGTGCGGCGCATCTGGGGGGTGGCGGAGACCCGGTACGCTGTGCTCAGCTGCCTCTCGCCTCGTTCCAGATATAGCAGCTGGTGAGCTCATCGCACGGTGCCTCTGACAGGGCCAGGGAAGCAGCAGGTTATATTTAGCTCTCCTCTGAGTCACGGCAGCTCCAGGTTCCCTGTGCTGGACTCGCACAGACCTTGGCGTGTCCCCAGCCTGCAGCGGGAGGGGAATCAAGAGACACGGGTTTGCCCCGGGGCACTGGGGGCTGAGCTCCCCCCCCGGCACCTGCTCCCCCCGCGCCATAGGGCCGGGACATGAACTCTTCACCTCCACTGCCAGCCAGGGGTTGGAGGACAGTGAAACGGGAGGGCTGGGGAGGGCTTGCCCTGAGCTAAGGAGGAGGGGGAACGGCGCTCTCCCCCGAGTACTGCGTCCCCTGCTAATACCCAGTCAGCACCGTGTCACCGCTCAGCAGGAACAGAGCTCGCTCCTCCTCCCAGCCTTGGCCAGGCCTGGGGTAGCCGGGAACTACCTCCACAGCCAGCGCCCTGCCCCGCCCCCCACAGCGCCCCCTGCTGGGAGAGGCCGGGGCTGGAATAGCTGGGAGCTCCCCCCAGAGCCAGCGCTCTGCCTCGGCCCCCCCACAGCACCCCCTGCTGGGAGAGGCTGGAGTAGCCAGGAGCTCCCCCAACTGCCAGCACCCTGCCCTGCTCCCCACAGCGCCCCCTGCTGGGAGAGGCCGGGGCTGGAGTAGCCAGGAGCTCCTCCTCCCAGCCAGTACCTCTGCCCTGCCCCCACAGCGCCCCCTGCTGGGAGAGGCCAGGGCTGGAATAGCTGGGAGCTCCCCCCAGAGCCAGCGCCCTGCCCCGCCCCCCCCACAGCACCCCCTGCTGGGAGAGGCCAGGGCTGGAATAGCTGGGAGCTCCCCCCAGAGCCAGCGCCCTGCCTCGCCCCCCCCCACAGCACCCCCTGCTGGGAGAGGCTGGAGTAGCCAGGAGCTCCCCCCACTGCCAGCGCCCTGCCCCCCCCCCCCCCCCCCACAGCGCCCCCTGCTGGGAGAGGCCAGGGCTGGAGTAGCCGGGAGCTCCTCCTCCCAGCCAGTACCTCTGCCCTGCCCCCACAGCGCCCCCTGCTGGGAGACGCCAGAACTGTCCCTGTGATCACACTCTTGTGTTGATTTTTGCCATCCGTTCCATTCAGGAGCGCCGGCTCTTTCAGCCCCTCCTGGCCTGCCATGGCTGTGGACTGAATTTGCGTTGGCTTCCACTGGGGTTTGATTATGAGACAGACCAAAGTGCCCACAAGCCCCGCTGGCGTCGGTGTCGGCGGGCAGGTGCCTGGCCTCCCCGGGAACCCAGCCTGCAAGCTGCCCTGCCCCTCCTCCTGTCTGCACGAGGCCCATGGAAAGTCACACCACAAGAGGGAGGGGAAGACGCACCTGGGGGATGTCGAGGTGCAGACGGATGCCTGCGGTTCTGTGGTGCGGAGACGTGGGGAGAGATGGCGGAGAAACATGGAGTTGTCTCCCTTCCTGCCACGTGGGAGTTGAGCTCCCTCACGCTGGGGCTGGCGATGAGCTGGGGGAGGCGGGCGGGCGGCTGCCACGTGGGCAGAGTGGAGACAGCCAGCAGAGACAGGCAGCAGCAGAGTGCCAGGAAAAGCAGGGCTTGGCGATCGGAGAGGAGCGAAGAGGGATGGGGGGAGTCCAGTGTCCCTTGAAGTGAGGGTGTCCTGGCACTGGGACCTCAGCCAGCCAGAGGGGACTTGAGCCGTGGCAGAGACTGGGGTGGCATGGGGCTCCGTGGGCATCACCAGAGGGGACTTGACTCCTCTTAGCTGCAAGGAGCTTGCTTTGATCAGGCTCCACCCCCATTGCCCAGCCCCTGCCCTGTGGCCCCCACACCTGGCATGCCCCTGGTCCAGGCTGATTATTCTCTCTATAAACACCCCCGGGTAGGGGGAGAGTCACTGGAGCTACAGGCCAACGGGACTGGACTCGGTGACCCAGGATTCCCTTGCTGCCTGACATCCTATGGCCGTGTCCCTCAGGGGAGGAGCAGGGCTGGCCTCGGCCCGCTGTCACTGACTCGATGGGCTGGGCACAGCCTGGCAGCTGGGTCCCTGCGTAGGATGGACAATGGAGGAGGCCCAGGCCCTGCCTGCTCTCCCCCGCCCTCTGCCAGGGGCGCAGGGCACAGAGGGGCAGGAAGTTGCAATGCTCCCTTCTCCATCCTACGTGCCCCCCACTTGGCACCCGATACCCTTCGCGTCCCCGGAGTGGCCCTGGGCTTCAAGTCGCCCGCACCGAGGGGCTTCCCAGTCGGCGTCGGGGCTGGGGAGCATGGCGGCTGTCGGGAATGCCAGGGCTCCGGGCGCGTGTGCCGTGCAGCCCGCGCTCTTTGCCTTGGTCGTGCTGGTGAGCCGGGGGTGTGCTCTCGGGGGGAGCAGAGGGTGCAGCTCACCGGGGCCTGGCTGCCAGCTGCGGGTGGAGCTGTGGCCTGCTCTGGTTCTCCAGTGCCGGGCTGGCGCCATTCAGCAGGTGCCCCGCGAGGGGTTTGGGTGGGAGCCGGGCACTGGGGCCAGGGCACTGGGAGGGTGAACTCTGCCTCATCTGATGAAGTGAGCTGTAGCTCACGAAAGCTCATGCTCAAATAAATTGGTTAGTCTCTAAGGTGCCACAAGTCCTCCTTTTCTTTCTGCCTCTCTGTGTTTCAGGGTCACTGGTGGGGAGCTTTTCGAAGACATCGTGGCCCGGGAATATTACAGTGAGGCCGATGCCAGGTGAGTGGCAACTCCCCACCCCCCACATCCCCTCCGCCCTCCTCCCCGTCAACATTAACCCATTCATGACCTGGGCAGAGGGGGGGAACCCCAGAGGTATCGCCAGGTGATAGCCAAGTGCCTATGCCTTTGGCACCATTGTGCCATGTGTCCTGCTGGTCACACCCAGCGCGGGGTCCCTCTCCTGCGGTTCAGTTCCAGGGGCCCCTCAGCCGGCCTGGGCCTGAAAACAAATGTCTACCCCATGCTCCCTGAGGACGAGGAGGAGAGTGGCGGCAACTCTCCCTCCGGGGCCCAGCTGGCTTCTGGGGCGCAGCCAGAGAGGCAGAGGGGTGGTGGGACCCGGGGGGGTTCGAGCTTTCCCCTCTGGGTTGTCAGTGGGACGAGTCTGGTCTTAGCCTGGTCCCTTAGGGAGCACTCGCGAAGCCACCACCCAGCAGGGCACGGTTGCCAGCCATGCACCGTGGGCCAGGGCTGCTGGAGGGCGGGGCGGAGGTGCGTTGGCACAGCAGCGGGGGGGGACGGGACGGGGGGAACGTTCTGGATCAGAACCGAGGGGCTTTGCCTGGGGAAGAGGGCTCAGGACCGGACGAACTACTGGTGAGGCTGGAGAGGCTCCGGCAGAGCTGTGGGGCAGGGCCAGGAGCGGGGCGGGATGTAGGGGCGCTCAGAGTGGGCAGGGGAGCACGGAGCTGCAGGACCGGAGAAGGGGTCTGTCCCAGAGAGGGAAGGGTGCAGCATCCCTCCCTCTGGTCTCAGCCTGGCTGTCGGGCCCTGGCAACTGGGAGGCCACTGACCCTCCCACAAGCAGCTGGCGTCTGTGGGGCTTGTCTCAGCCATCGGGGAGCAGCGGGCACAGAGCAGCCGGCTGGTAGAGAGCGCGGGGGACTGGGAACAAACTGCAGGGACAGGGCGCGTCTGAGGGCAGCCGGCAGGGTTTGGGGGGCATTGCTGACAGGGGCCTGACCTGGTGACCTGGTGACTGGTCACGCGTGGGCTCGTCTGGTGACGTGCCCGTTCCTGGTCCCGTCCGACTGGAGCACGCTGGCCCCCTCCCTCCGTGTGCTGGCCCCCAGCATCTCGCTGTTTGCTGCTTGTCGTCTCTCCGGCCCCCTTGTGAACCGGTGGGGGGGGGGGGGACTGTGCCAGAGGAGGTCAGACGCCCGTCACGCTTCTCGGGCTCAGACGGGTTCCCAGCTCCAGGGACCTGGCCAAGCTGGGCTCTAGCTAATGACCTCACACGCCGCCCCGTCTAGGCTCTGCTGGGAAGACCCGAGCTCATGGCCCCCTCTTCATGCAGTTTCATTGCCGTTCCGGGCATCTGATGCTTTCCCCAGGACGGGGGGTAGCCTAGGATAGCGGGCGGGCATCAGATCAGGATTGAGGGGCCGTGACAGAGTTATAAGTGTGGGGAGCCCAGGGCTGGGATAGCAGGGGGCTGTGGGTCAGGATTGAGGGGCAGCGGCCGAACTCTGTGTTGGGAGAAACCAGGGCTGGGCTAATGGGGTGGGGGCTGGTGGCAGGTCCCTCTCCGTGCAGCTCCCGCTTCCCCCATCCCTGGGCTGTCAGTGGTGGGAGCCCCCTGTCAGGGCAGCCCGTGTGGGGCAGCCTGTCACGGAGTCCCTGGGCGATGCTCTGGAACTGCTCCCCATGAAGCCAGGCAGGACTCTGGGGAAGTCTCCTCTCTGGGAGCAGCCTGTCTGCAGGACACACAGCTCACCCAGCTCCACCTTCCTGGGTCTGACCTCGGAGCATTCAGCATCCTCTGCCCCGTGTGCTTCCCACAGCGAGTCCGCCCAGGCGGGGTCCTGGGGAAGCCAGAGGGTCCTGTGCCCCAATTTCGCAGTCAGACATGACTCTCAGCCAGTCAGTAAAACAGAAGGTTTATTAGACAACAGGAACATGGTCTAACACAGAGCTTGTAGGTGCAGCGAACGGGACGCCTCAGCTGGGTCTATTTTGGGGGGCAGTGAGCCAGACAACCACATCTGCCCTTCACTCCATGTCCCAGCCAGCCCCAAACTGAAACTTCCTCCAGCCCCCCCTCCTCTGGGCTTTGTCCCTTTCCCTGGGCCAGGAGGTCACCGGATTCCTTTGTTCTCCAAACCTTTAGCTCTCACCTTGCAGGGGGGAAGGGCCCAGGCCATCAGTGGCCAGGAAACAGGGTGTCGGCCATTCTCTGTGTCCAGACTCCTGCACACACCTGCCCTCTAGGGCTCTGCAATGATCATACACCCTTATCCCACCCCCTAGATACTTAAGAACTGCCATGGGGAAACCGAGGCACCCCCACACTATTCGGAGGAAACATTAAGAACAGTCCCACTTCGTCACATCTCTCCCCCCTTCGAGATCGAACTGAGCGGGGTCACTTTAGCCAGTGACCTGGGGAAGTTCGAAGACACCAACGTTCCCATGGATGCCCCAGCATCTCTCCCTTTCCTTGGTAGGAGTTACACCAGGCCCTTCCAGTTTCACACCTCTCCTTAGGTCGGGGTGATAGATAGCACTTCCAGCTGCATGTGGGAAGCTTTATGCGGCCCGTGCCCTTTGGCTATCCCAAAACCCCAGGGGGTCAAACTGGGATTGGGTCTTCTCCCCAACAAGCTGGCCAAACACAGCCACTTGGTTATAGGACTGTTTAACTTTCTTAACAGCTTTCACTTCATCTGAGACCTTCTCAAAGCTATTCACACTGGATCTTCAACAGGAAAGTCAGTGGATCCATTCACAACCAAAAATTTCTGGCTGTTAGGAACTGAAACTTTCTTGATTAAATCACTTTCACACCCTTCAGTTGCAGTAAACTGCTTGCAAAGACTCCATGAGGATTCCTTTCCCTGAGGGCTTTTCTATGCAACAATTCACCCCTCCCAGAAATTCTGCCCTTACCCTCTTCACCTAGGGCTTGCTCTAGAGGAACACTTTCCTGAGCAACAACAGACTCTTTCTGTGTCTCCCTTACATCCAGAATTACCTCTGGCCCATCCGGTGGATTCCTACACAATCCCCTTTCAGGCAAACTTACAGACTTCCTAGATAAAAGGTCAGAAGCATTCGCCTTCCCTTTGCCACACACAAGTTCAGGAATCTTTTCCTTCTTGCTACAGGTTTCCACACCCTCCGTAGGTAACACAATCAAATCACCTTCGTGCTCTCCTTGTATCCTGGCTAGGATCTTACCCTGATTAGACAGATTTGCTAAACCCTTTCCCAACAACACACTAGCAACAGGCAGAATACAAGCACCAGAATTGTCTGGTCTCTGGGGTTTTACATAGACACTAACTGGATGTGACCTAGTTACAGGGCCATTCTCCCGAGCAGACACAAACTTGGGACCCTTCCCTTCCTGGGCTTTAGCTGAATCCAGAACCAACTCTGAGACACCTGCACGACCCTCAACCGTCACAGGCTGAAAGGCCCCTTCTGTCTACTCCACAGACAAAGAAGAGCCGGACACACTTTCTCCTTTCCCAGGCACACAGGTTGGGATCTCATTCCCCTGGTCCCAGCACACAGGGCTGGTCACAGACAACTGCTTGGAGATCAGGGTAGCCCCCTCCATAGGCAAGTCAATACCCCTGACAGACACAGGCACGTTTCCTTCACTGTCCCACTTCTCCACCCAGCTAACAGGTAAGGTCCAGGGACACTCATCTTCCACTCTCCTCGCCTTCCCACCCTGCTGACTGGACAAAGCCATCAGCTCACAAGGCTGCCTAGGCTCATCCAGACTTTCCTTACCAAGCACCTTGCCACTCCCCACAGATCCCCTGCCCTGCCTGTGTCTCCCCCCACTCAGCTGGGGTCTCAGCTCCCCCCTTGCTCAGCGCTGCCCTTGCTGTCCCAGTGGGGTAGGCAGCGAGCTCCCTGCTTTCCTCACTACACCAGAGCCAGCCTGAGCCCCTGAGCCCCCCTCTCCGGTGTGCAGGGGAGCAGAGAGCATCTCTCTGTCCCACCCAGCCCCAGGGGGCTGGTTACAGGCAGGCAGGTAGCCTGAGCCTAGCCGATCCTCCCCCCTGCCAGCCAGGTCATCTGCATTTTCACTGACCATTTCCCTCTCCGCCGATTGGTTCCCTGGATTCAAATTCAAACCCTCCGCCGTTACAGGAGCAGGGCCTGGATCCTGTCCCAAAGAGACACAGTCACCCCACAACAGGGTCTCGCAGCTGGTATCCTGGAGAACCCCAATGACCAGCCAGCCCCACCCCTCCTGGGTCTGCACAGGGATCTGGGCCATAGGCAGGGCGAGGGGCTTCGTCCCTGGGACCCTCACCCAGCTCACACAGCCCCTCAGCCTCTGAGGCTGCACCACCCAGGGCCTGACCACAGTTCTCTCTGTCCCAGGATCTCGCCACCCCAGGAATGTCTCCCCATTGACCATCACCTTCCGCTCCCACTGGGGGTCCGAGGGGCCTGGCCCCAGGAAACTCCACACAGACACATAGGTTGGGACCAGGAGTGGGAGCCCGTCCACCTCCCCACCCATCTGGCTGACGGAGTCTATGGCCTTGGGACCCAGCAAGGGAACTAGACACCGGGGCTTTTCCGCAGGGTCCCCCTGGTTCAAATCGCCAGCCTGCTCAAAGGCAGTGAGGTGGGCATCCACATCCCCCCCTCCTTAACCAGGGGCAGCAATTTAGTCTCGAGGTTCCCTGCGGAACTGGCCCCCCGGGGTCTATCCCCACTCACCCCGGGGAGGTCCCCTAGGCCTCTCCGCTCCCCCACCGCCAGTTCATGCTGCTGCTGCTTCTGCAGCTCTTTCTCGGGCTCTCGCTGTCTCCCACAGTCCTCTTGCTCTCTCAGACTCAGCTCCAATCCCGTCCGTCTCGATCCCCCGACGGGGAACCCGATCGTGAAGACCCCCGTCTGGTCCGGGACAGGAGTCTTGGGGATGCCTGGCTCCCACTTCAGCTGCTCCCAGATCCTGCTATAGCCCCAGTTGGGGTCAGGAATCTGTTCCTTAGAGCGGTCATCCCCCTCCAGCTGCACTATTG